GAGGAATATTTTCACAGAAAGAAAGATATTTTGCACAGGATCCTTAAAATTGCCTCACTTTGCACATTCTTAACAGTGATTTAGCACCTTTAAAGAGTCCTCAGACCACAACACAACATCCAGGCAAAAGGTCCAGCACATTATAATGTCTCCTAGGGCAGGTAATACACTGATAAAAAGACCAAGGGACCAAGGGAAGAAGAGTTGAAGTGTCGTTCTTTGGGCCAGGTTTCGGTGAGAGCGAAGATACAGGCGATTGTGTACACCGACAGAGATTTTGCACTTGCAGTTAGTTCCTCCATCGTATTCCTTGAAGTCCTGGTTCTGGTGAGGTACATTCCATTACCTTCCACACTCCTTCCTGGTTCTAGTTGCCTGTATGCCAGCATCACAGCACTGAATGAGAAATTCTCAGTGCTGTACTCAGGCTTGCGAGTTCAGGTCGATCTCCTGCAGGCGGTAAAAAGGAACATCATCACAAGAGCTTTGCAGCCTCCATGATAGTAAGATGATGATGGATCAGACAACAGGAGGAACAAATCCCCCCTCTCCAGGCAAGAAGTATCATGTTTTGTTTGAAAGGCGTAAGGGAGGCATCTACATCGAGAGAGAAACCCTTTAGGAGTCCAGAGTCAGGCGAGAGCCACGAGAAAAGAATACATTTTTGTTGTGCCTGCTGTGCAGCTTCTCAGTCTAAAAGGGACTAATTCAACTATTAGTCCCTTAAGACTGAAACGGACATTTCTCAGGGAGCCTTTTGAAAAAGACAAGACAAAAAAAATGTACCAATAGAAGATGAAAAGCTAATTGAAGAGATCTAATGATTGAGTGGTAAAAAATGTCAAGAAGTTAAGCAGGGAAAGAGAAATATTCTTGTGGTCTGACAGAGGATGGCAGAAGAGGAGGACAGATAGAGGCAAAGAGGAAGAGGCCGCTTTGAGATATGATCTCAACAGAGGTATCGGTGGAGTGTGTCTGTGTTCTCCACCATTATCAGCTGAGAGCTGATGCCCCTGTTATTGTAAAGAACACACACAAACGCACTCGCTCACACACTTTTCTCCCCCCTGACTTCATTAGCCAAACCACATGCAGAGCTCTGGGAGTAATTGGCTGCCCTTTCAGCCTCCTAATGTCGAGAGGAGAGGAGGGAAGAGGAGGTGAACATGCAGAATTATATTTATTAAGAATCTCCACTCAGAACTTTTTTTCGTTCTTCTCCTTTTTTCTTTTATCCTTTTTTGGTGAGCTACTTTATTGTTTTAACCCACATATCTTTTGTGGCGGTTTCCTGTTCCTACTTAATTTGTTTTCATGCTTTTATTACAAGACAAAAGGAGAAATTCCATACCAGTTCTTTCAAATTATTCCACACCAGCGTCTTTTGATTGGATTCACTGGAGACAGAGCAGCTAGACCTCCCTACAAACAGGGATCATGCTGCTTAAGCCTCATATCTGATTTGTTCAGTGGTGCTCAGTACTCAAGTGCTATAATTTTGTACAATTCTGAAGTACTTTACATGAGTATTTCCATTTTATGCTACTTACTATATATTTTCAGGGGGAAATATGGTCCTTTTTACTCCACTATATTTACAGCTGTAGTTACTTTTCAAATTATGATTTTACATAAAAACATAATACAAATATTGGTAAAAGATTAAACCAGTGGCTTCTTCAGTTTGTCTCAGATGTCTATGAGTTGTTGATGGGACTTATTAACAGTTTGAATCTGAAAGAGATCAAATTATTCATTGTCACTATAAAATCAAAGATAAAAGTCAAAACTATTAATAGAAATGTTTCTTCTTTCCTACCTAAATAATCACCCCTTAGATTTATTTTCTGACACATTGGAGGGGCCTGACCCCTAGGCTGGGAACCACTGGATTCACTGGCGACATCTTTCATTTAGGCCTGTGTGGTGTTTTGCTCCGAGCTGTCCACCTCCAGCAGAGCAGCTGCTCTCTCAACCTTATCCCAGGTTTTATCAGACTGGATGTCTGACAGGCAGGAAACACCCCTCCAAGTAGGATCAGGGCTGATTATAGGGCCAGACAGTGTGCATGGGAAACGCAGGACACATCATACTTATCCCGCTCCCTTACGTATGAACACACAAAGAGACATCTTCTCTGAAAACGTAACATGCAGCGGTGGGCAAACCGTCTCAGGCTATATGAGAAGATTTTTTTCTAGGTACATAAATTTTGGTTGCTGCAGTGGGAATTTGTTGCCTTCCAAAACAACCTAACTGAAATGATGAGTGTGTTTTTTGTTCTGCCACTTATATCATTGAAGTTTAGCTTAGTTTTACTAAAACTACTTAAGGCTACTTAGCCGTCAAGATTAGGGAAAGATGTGGCCCTACATAAAAATGCAAACCTATTTTTCACTTCATATGAGAGTTTTTACAGGGAGAGTTGTTTATGAGAGTTGTTTTTGATGTTGCTTTACTCACTGGTTTCAAGAAGGGTTACAAACACTGGGATCGACATGTGGTGTCAGTCAAATCTGGTCAAACCACGTCCATACAGTTCTAATCCATCGATTAGTTGGGTTTTAAAAGTGTTGAATAATAAGTTGTTTTTTGTTTGTTTTTATTAAATATGTAAGATTTAAGTTCTCAGGGCCTTACAAATAAATCAAAGTTGACTGTTGGTCGGAGACCGGATCCAAACTAGTCTCTGTGATGTCACACTTGCAGCAGTATAATAACGTCATGCTGCTTCTACCACATATTTTGCACAACTAAAAGAAAAGATAAATATAAACATAGGTCACTCTGTGCATTTGAACAGCTTGTATTCAAAATTTAATATCTAATAGCATCATCATTACAATCATGGTAATAATGGTTTTTGGGAAAGTGACTGCTCAGAATTTACTAATTAAAACAGACCGCTAAAGATTTCCTCCCCATTACTGTGTTATTCCACCACAGAGCCATTTTACACTGAGCCATTATGTCCATCTCTTTGCCGTTCTCTTAATGATTATGCGCTCTTTTTTACCCATAAAAGCCTTAGGGTTGTCCTCTGAGAATATTCCACTGGCCTTCCACATCCATCATGCTGCAGATGTACAAACAGCAGGCCTCTGTGGGGGAAGTTAACCTAACCCAAGGCCCGGAGGCTGCCAAGGTCTCCGAGCATCAGGAGCATTCAAAGGTTTTGCTTGTCTCTCTGGAAGAAAGAAAGAAAGCTCCAAGAGGCTGAGCCTGTGTGTTTCTATCCATGGTCCACTACTGACCTGTGTGTTCCCGTGGCAAGACAGAAACCTTAATTCAAAGTGACTTTCAGGCCGTGCTCTTATGTATTCCATGTGAACATGTCAGTGAGGGGCATCCTGTGAATTTCTAGCAGCGTCACATGAGAGCAAGGTTACCCATTTGAGCAGAATGTTCCTGTGAAGTTCAGCAGTATAGAATATAGAAAGTAGCACATTGCATACAGCGGAGACATGCATGAAAGAGTCATTGATAACAAAACCATTTCCCTTCCCTTCAACTCTGCAGTGCAAATCACCTCCTCATTGAAGCACACCTTGACTGCAACGTCTATCATTTGCTAGATGCTTACCACCTCAGGGTTATATACAAGTTATGAGTGTGTGTGTGTGTGTGTGTGTGTGTTGGTGGGCGCAGGCAAGTGTGTTTATGAGACTCAGCGACTGAGAGAGAAGTGCTCCAGCACACATTTATCTTCTTATGTAACAACTAGCATTAGCACGAGCTGGCTAAAGGCTGCCTCTTCCCAACAAAAACACCAACAGCAGGATTCGGCTCGTTTCACAACATACTGAGTTAAGCAGGTTTCCTTAGGACACAATCCTCATATACAAATCAATTACTTACAGCCGTGCAACACATGAACCTGGGGTCAGAGCCAATGAGGGCCACGTTATCGGATCGATCATCATTCTTTTTATAATCAGCTAAGATGACAGTACCTTTCGACCTTATAACTGCCACTCATGTGACGCCTTTGAATATTCCTGACAGGAACCAGCTAAATCTGAGAGGATTATACTGAAGGCGTGCAACAGCTGAGTGGCATTTAGGAAAGAAAACGCAATAGGCAAGTTTATCATGTCAGTGTAGCATGGCAGGGCCTGAAACAGGCATAAACAGGCTTAATATCTCAAAGAAAAGAGAGCAGAGGTCGTAAACACCTACCTGACAGATGATAATCTAAGGTGGCGTGATATATACCCCGAGGGCCACTGGGCCACTGCGTCTTATTTCATTTATTCAGTCCACAATGTTTTGCATGCACTGGTTGGTGAGCAAGGCTGTTATCTCATTTGCAAAGTCTCACAAATAGAGAAAATAACATCATTTAACTGATATTACAGTAATCCTATTCAATAGGTAAAGAAATAAAACAGCAAAGATAGTATAAAATAAAGGCCATAGGTCTATAATGTTGCTGTAACACTGTTAAGTGTTAGTGTAATTCATTACACACGTTCTCTGGGAAATGAGAAATAAGAGGTCAAATAAGAGGATGCAATTAAATCTGCTTCTTTTCCCTCTTACTCTCCCTGTCTGCCTCTTTCAGGGAGAATAGATGTACCTCACAGCGGTAAGAGAGGAGGAGAGGTGGAAGATCCAGAGCACCACCACGCGCATCCATCCTTGCCTCTTGTCCCGTGTAAAGATCATTCATAAAAATGGCAGGCCGATCCCGCTACCATCCTACTGGTTGTACTAAAGAGATTTTCCTTTTATTTCAGTGATTAACTCGATTAAAGCACTCCGAAGATGACCAGCCTGAGTGGAATTCACAAAAGAGCAATACCTCTGTTTTAATGCAAAGGAATGCTTACAGATCACTTGCTACGCTTCTCTCGGCGGTTTATTGTCACCACGCAGCCCAAAGACGCACCGTTTCCGCGGGTGAACAAAAGCGTCTGTGCCGCTTCCAGAAGCCGAATTCATTATAGAAAACATTAACATTTTGGCAGATACATATGAATGTCGACCCTTTTCCTTACCCGATAAAGCCGAGGTGGTGTCTGTGGAGGGGAGAAGGATACCCCTGCTCCGGTTGAGGACAGCCGGGTAGAGATGCGGGGATGCTCGGCTCGCTCCGGACGCCTTCCTCCGGTGCGCCTGGTGAATAGTGTTGTCGTTCGAGATCTCCGTCCGGTTACTACTGCTGCTGTTTTTTACTGCACACTCACACACATCCACACGCACTGGCTGGTTGGGTGACTGACTTTAGTGGCCCTGGGCTACAGCAGCCGAGCCCTGCAAAGCATGTTACTGCTGCAGGCGAGAGGCAGCAGTGATGGTGCTGCGGTGCGGAGCTGGTGCTGGCGCTTCCTCTCCTCCAGGGGCCCGGTTGCGGCGGGATAGCAGCGGAGGACAGTGTGTGGAAGTGGTGAGCGCCGTTGGAGTGGATTTAAACAGGGGGATGGTTTTGTTGGGATTACGTGGTAGGGGTTTAATTAGACAGCGCAGCGCCTATTGGCACTGACGTTACGCACATCCCTCCTCCTCCTTTCTCTGTCTCTCCCTCTCTTCTCTCTCTCCCCCAGCAAAACTGATATACATGTATGTGTCACATCATAGAATGATGTGTGTGTTTATAATAATATAAGTCACTGCGCCACCTTTTTTTGATTACTGATTGAGCTGAGGATTGCATATTACATATATAGCCTACAGATGCATAGTTCGAATTACCGGGGGGATTGGGGGGGTGGAGGTTTGGAGGCTTCGACCCCCCAGAAGAGGCAAAAACAAAGAAGCTCATGGGGGTCTTTCTTACCTGTAATTGTAAATATTACAATATATTTCCCATACTCATGCCTTATATTCAAGAATCTTGAATTATGATTTCTGACACCCCTAAAATGGAGCGTACCATTTCCTAATCTTGACATTAGTTAAACGTCTTGTCTGTCTGGATCACTGGCAGAGGCAGCTGCTCCAGTCCAGTCTGCCACACGCTGGTGGAGACACTGTAAGTTAATGTCAGTAGTTAGCTATCTAGCTTCTGTAATACACTTAACTTTCCTACCTTCAGAGTTTCGAAATTAGCAATTATTTTACTTTAAATGAGCCATCTGATGTGATATATATACAGACAGATAGATATATACTAACCTGTCATTTCATTACCACTAGGCTATATCATTTCATATGTTATCTAATTTTCAGTCAACACTGGTGCTTAGGCATATGTAGTGAAATAGAGGATTAGGTATTGTAGATACACATTTTGACATCAATATATATTATTTCATTCAAATCAGCATGATTTTTGAATTCAGAACTTTTACCTGGCAAATGTTAAAATCCAGGTTTGTTATTTCAAATGTTTGTTTTATTTATAGCGCCAATTCATAACAAAGGGCATCTCATTGCACTTTTTATATAGAGCAGGTCTAGACAGAACTATTTATTATTATTTACAGAGACCCAAAAATTCCCAATTCCCCAACAGTATATGACAACTGCTTTATTGAACGCAGATTACATTTCATTCACAGTCAACATGAGCAAGAGGAAAGAAGATTTTGCTAACAAAAAGTTGAAACTTAAAACTCGAAATGATAAGAATTGGGAATTAGAGATGATAACGCAGACCGTATTTTATGGTAGTGTCTTTGGTTCCGGTTCAACAATGTGTGGGTCTGTTTTGAGTGGTCATGATGGTGTGCTGTTATGTGTTTGACTTTCTGGCAGTTTTGCTGTAGAATAGTGACCTCTGACTACAAAAGTTGTCGTGTGGTATGGGGCACCCATCAACTGGTGTAATGATTTTGATTTATTATCATCTACAAACTGCAAACATTAGTTAAATAAGCAAAGTTATTGTAAGCATTGTAAGGTTTTAGTTTACTGAAGCCCGCGCCTGTACTGGCTTTTCTTTTTGACCCGGAAAAAAAAGTTGACCTGTCACTGTATAATTCGCACCCTGTATATCCAGAAAATACTATGCTTACAGTATTGCATTTGTCATCTCTGTATCATTTTGGTTCTGCTGTGATAAAGAAATATAGTGGAAACATTATATCATTATCTTCTGAACTAAATGGTACAAAAGTGGAATAATATAAGCCCCAGTTAGTTTGGTAAAAGTGTGTTGTTGTTGTTGTTTTTTTTAAGTGTAGCTAAACAAAAATTGTCTCAAGTTTCCATTCAAATGTAGGCCAGTGCAAACTTTAACAGAATTTCCAGAAAATCGACAAAAGAAAATGAAGGACGAACAAATGAATTACTGTGCCTTTCCATCCACTATATTGTGCAAATATTAGGAGTTGAGTGCCTGGAGATAAACAGTTGGTTGAGCTAATTCTCCAATTAAACCTGCAGAAGAAGAGGCACAACAAGATGGACATATTGGACCTAATGAAAAGAGCACTATTCACACCTCAAATATTGGAAAACATTGTGGCAAGAAGTTTTTAACTTTTATTAGCTAGACTGGATATTCATTAGTGATTGTGCAACATCATTTGCCTGGTCAAAACTCTAATAAAATCCGTCCATCCATCCATCCATCCATCGTCAACCGCTTATCCTGTATACAGGGTCGTGGGAGGCTGGAGCCAATTCCAGCTGACATCGGGCGAAAGACGGGGTACACCCTGGACAGGTCGCCAGTCCATCGTAGGGCAGATTCAAACTACTTACACCATTTATGTATTTAGGGTTTCTCATCAGTTCAAGAATTTCCCTCAACTCAAGATATCGACATTGTCCTTAGAGATATCTTAAATTAAGTTTTAACTGGTCAAATATGACATTATAGATAGAATTATGATTGTAGATATATATATATATATATATATATATATGTTATCAAGTTTCATTCTGCCTAGTCAACATGTAATTACAGATAATTTGAATTAGAGTTCTGACTAGGTGAAATGGCGGGAGCCACATGATTTTCTCCAGGGCTGATGATGGAAGTAGCTAACGAGTGAGCCATCTTGCCTCCTTCTCTCTATCTCTGTTGAGATTTCTGGAGTTGTCAAATTTGGAATACGGGTATCTGTAATTGTCATTTAGAATGGTGTTTTTTTAATGCACAATTTGAAAAAGCATATTAAAACTGGTGGATGGAAATGCACTGCTGTAGGGCAACCTCTCTGTTTTTCATATGGAAGCACACACACATCAGAAAAAGAGGCTTCAGATCTGAGTCAGACATCGGACAATCTGTGGACATTAACATTGATGGAACAAGCCGGGTACCAGCCCTCACACACACACACACACACACACACACACACACACACACACTCTGAGGTTCACCATCTGTGCCAGACATCAGCCGTACTTTGTCACACCTCACAGAACTTGAGAGCTGTGGGAAGGTTTTTTATTACTTTATAACTCCAAAGGTTGGAGATGACTCACAGTCGGTGGTCTCTCTGGAGTAAGTTTGGTTGCTCATTGAAGGGACAGCTGGCTTGCGTAACCAGCGCTACCCCAACAAGAAAATCAAAAATGAGACCTTCTTATGGGAGCACATAAGCACTCGTTGCAGCAACAATTTCCGGAGACAGTCTATGCCAATGATGGATTTTAGATGAGGAATGTGTGGAGAGGTTTCAAGGATGGTCTGCTTCTTAAACAGCCCCTGTAGCATGGGATTATCATGTCTCATTATCCCTTCATAATTTAGGAAAAGCACATTGTGTTGATGTGGCCAGCGTGTGCTCCCTGCTCACCGCATTCACTTTTGCTGTGTGATGAGCTCTTCTTACAGCAAAGATTTCAGTCATAGCTGCTATTTCACACTGTGACCAGAACATCACAGCAGGGTTGACAAATCAAATGCAGAATGAGACACAACTGGAGAGCGGGATTGCAATTTTCAGGCACCGCTTTAGTTTTATATCATGCATGAAGGGGAGGAGTAGTCTACTGCTTTCATAGTCTCTGGCCAGATGTTTGGAAGGGTTTCAAGTTCTTTATTTGTCATGTGCACAACAATTACAGTGAAGCAGTCGTTGGCAATGAAATTGTTCCCACAGGTATAATGAGAGATGAGAAAAAGAGAATCTAAGACAAAGACATGAATAGTGCAGAAGTTAAAATAAATATAGGAATAAAATATATAAAAATAGAACTTAAATGAAAGAGAACATAAAATGTAAATAAATAGAACATAAAATGTAGTGATGAAATGAATAAACTGTAATTTAAACAAATTGTGCATTAATGCAGTATCTATGCTTAACAGATCAGGGACTGGTAATGCACATCACTATGCAGAAGTTTAATGGCTATAAATAAATATGTATACTGTGATGTGTGTAGGTATAAACAAGTTGTACCTGTGGAGGAACAAGATGGTGATGGTGTGGTAAATCTAGGTCAGGTCCTCAGTGATGTGGACCCAGAGCAACCTGAAGCTGCTGACTCAGAGGGGGAGCTCGAGACAAGGCATCCGTGCCTGGCTCCATCTTCTCAGCTGGGGATGTTTTACTTATGTTTCCAGGGATGTCCAGTGAAAGGACACTTTTGCAAGTATGAATGAAGGACACTGAAAGTCTAAAATTTAATCAGACACAAAATAAAAACACAACTACAACCTTCAGCCCCGGATTTTTCTCCTCCTCTTGGTGATCTCCTTTGTGAACAGTAAGTACGGGAATCTACTGTCAAACCAGAAGGAATAAAACCTCATTCTAAAAGCACTTGTACTAAAACTAATTACTAAGAATCTAAACCTGTAAGATAGTCATAATTATTTCTGATTTATTAAGAGGTTTTAGAGTCAAACACTCTTTTTCATGCGAGTGTGGGTGCTGCCAATGTAAGCAAACAACCCCTCAACTGTCATCACATTTTGTTTCAAATATTGCAAAACCATGATTTGTGAATGCAAGGACTCTATGTGGCATCACCTTTTTCCCGCAGAGCGCCGCCTACTTCAAACCCCCAAAAACTACATACAGAGAAATCTCTCATGTGACATACCGGTAATCAGACTTTAACATCACCAAAAGTTCAATTTAAAATAGCAATGGATAGTAAACCCAAGGGACACATTGAACTTTTTCAGTTAGATGGATGAAAGACCCCTCAGTGTGTGATTATGTACAGCTCTCTATGGAGCAGCGTATAAATCATTTTACTGTTCAAAACTAGGTATTCCATGTTTTCCCAAAAGAATTTCTGAAATGCATTAGATTCACTGCCTTATTCTGTCTGGAGCATGCCTCTCTAAACCTTCAGTATATGAATCCCCTCACTTACTTACCAAAGGTTTGGTGTCTTGGTGAAATCTATCTAGATTCATCTGAAGCAGCACAGAGCCCTTTGCATTATGCTCACATTTAGTTCACATCCAGTGAATTACTTCCAGTTCCACAGTGCAGTGTTGATGGAGGAAGTAGTGTGCCATTTATGCAGCTAAGTGGGATGTGCTGCGCTGACAGACCACAAGTCCCCGGTAAGACCAGAGGATCA